TCTCGTCCGGCCCCTCCACAGAACCCCTCACAGACGTGCAAAAGGACTGCTCTTTCGTCTCTTCTACCGGCTTCTTGCATCGGCTCAAACGCCCTCCTACCCACCTTCCCTGCATCTATGCTTCCATGTGTCCTTGTGACCGACTCTGCGACGACCCACACCGACTCAAATCACACGATCGGGCCGTCAGGTCTGTGCGCCACGGGAGCATCTGCTTTGCGTCCGCGTCACGCTTCATCCCACCGGCCGCTGCAGTCAACGGGGCTCATGTTGCCCAGATTTGTGAACGCAAGATTGTGGACCGAGAGTCTGCTCCACTTTGTATGTCTTCATGTGCGAACATGTGCCTACCTGCATGAGCATGGCTATAATTATGCGAATTTGTAGGCATGCTTCGGTCCATTTTATCATGCTCATCTGGACGTACGTGTGTGTGTGTGTGTGTGTGTGTGTGTGTGTGTGTATGTGTGTGTTTTCGTTTGTAGGAGATGAGAAGAAGAGATAAAAATATCCCTTTTACCACGTTCATCTTTGCCTATTTCCCACAGGCACGAGATCGTGACTTGTGGATCGCTGGATCAGCGCAATTTATGTCCAGCTTGGGCAAAAGAAACCACAAGAAGCAATCCCTTTCTGGCAGATGAGGCGGCCAGTTGAGTTGTTCACATTCACGACTGTACCATCTGTCTCCAGCTCCAAGCGGAAAGGAGGAGGGAGCAACGGTGTCTAGGCAGCAGACAGCAGTACATGCTCATGCGAACCGACGATAGAGACGAAATGGCGCATCTCCGTTTATCGGGTCGTTCGGTTAAGTTGGTCAGGGTTAGGGTTAGGGTCATAGTTAGGGTTAGGAGCCATTTACATGCTCAAAAGGCATGGAGATGAAGTGAAGGAAACGCCAATTTATCTCCACAATCAACTCCCGATGGGCGGGGATGGCTCGAATCCTGGCAAGAGTTGGCGGAGAAAAGTTATGTTTCGAGGAGTCTCTTGTTTCATAATTGTTGAGCTCACTTCCATTTCGAGTGAAAGTGTTGCGTGAAGAAAACTACGGCGGATTCCTCTTGACCAGCTGTCGTTTGGCTTTACTGGAACATTCATTTCGACGCTGTTTCCGAGGCAATCTCGTTCGATTCCGGTGACGGACATCATCAGAGTGAGGTATCATCGTCACAACAAAATTGTAGCTAACAAGTCAAGAAAGCAAACACAAACATGCACATACAAATGCAGAGACAGA